AAGAGCGCGGTCGAGCTGCTCCAGGAGACGAAGGCCTTTTACGTGAAGAGCGAGACCGTGCTGGACCGGAAGCAGGAGCTGAAGAACAGCGGTCATCTTCAGGTCTCGCAGCTCAGCGCGCCGGGAGCGCCGCCTAGGTTGCTGAGGAAATGCGGGACCGCCTCGATGTGTTCGATGCAGCCGACATCGCCGTCCCAGATGCCACCTGCTCCGCTAACAGCACCCTGTTGCTGGGCATCGTGCCACGAGCAGGACAGGCGTAAGTCCAACAAAGAGAGAGGGAGAGAAACAGAGACATTTCGATGCACCTTCGAGCATGTAATCGATTTAACGCCCCCGGTTATTTAAGGGGTCATGCTCAGTCAGGAGGCCGAAAAAAGAGTGTTCTTTAGGAATTTTTTTCTCGAAAACTATAAGACCTTTTTCAAAAAATGTGTCTGTGTTTCAAAGATTGCAGTTTCTAGATTATAAGGTAATTTTTTTATTTAAAAATATTTATTAGTAAATAAATGGTGAGCGATCTCCCGGATGTCTCTTCACAAAAAGTGGTCTGCCGTGATCACTGTAACTTCGTAACGCTGTATCTGAAATTAAAAATTCAGTAAGATTTATGTAATGGAAGAACCAATCTTGTTCTTGAACGAAGGATTTTTCGAAGTATTGATTAGGAACAAAATAGCGGACGTTTTCCTGAAAAAGTGCGATTTTCACCTAAAAAATTACTCGTTTTTGGTCAATTAAAAAAAGAGTATGGAACGAACAAAAGAATCCTTCGTTCAAGGACAAATTTTTCTGATTTGAAATAAGGCGCAAAACGCTTCATGTAAATCGACACAGTAGTTTTCGAGAAATTTTGATCACCGATTTGAAAAATGTAGTTTCGAGAAAAACACGTTTGAAGTTTCAAGTCAAGCTTACACTTATATAAAATGTTCATTTTTTAACGCCTGTAACTCTGTCATTTTTAATTGGATTACCTTGAAACTTGCACAAAATATTCTTGAGATGTTGTACTTAAAGAAAATGTAGAAAAAGAAAAATCGATTTTTTGAAAATTTCTGACCGAGCATGACCCATTAACGCCCCCGGGTATTTACGAGTGCTCCGCGCTTTGCCCCCGCCTTCTTGTCCCGCGAGCAGTTTTTCCATTCCATTGCCGCCGGGCAGCTTGCCATCGGCGAGATAGCTGTAAGTGGTCGTTCGAAGTATGTACTTACTTTCGAAACCTTCCTGTGGACGATACGCAGACGAGATCCGTGTGTATACATGAGATGATCTGGAAAAAAAAGCGTCGGACAATTTTCGGGGCCATACATATAGCACCGTAAATGCATTTTAATACAGTTGTAAAGAGTCGCGCTGCGCGAATCACATAAAATGATACACATAGAGATGGCGTGAACTGCTACTTGTGAATCACTGGTGATTCGATCACGTTCGTTCCCAATCACGATGATTTTTCACAGTGATTCGTGATTTCTCGTGATCGTTTCTGATTGGTGGAGAAACCTAACAGTTCTTTACACGCGACACATAATCTGTATATTTTATATTAACGACATCAAAACAAAAATTCGAGTTATATCTTATAAAGTAAAGGAATAATTAGAAACAATGAAGAATAATGAATAAATTAATGATTATGAATTATAATCTACATGTTACCTAACGAATCATTCTTTTAGAATTTCTTGTTTTTTCTATTGATTTTTACAAACACGAATAGTAATGTAAGTTCATCGTAAAATCATATTGAATACGTTTTTCTAAATTCACTCAAGATAAAAAAATCGCAGTCACGGTCGTAAATGAAGCTAAATCACGACCGTGAACGTGATTCGGTGATCACTGTGATAAATCATCGTTAGTGATTTTGCACGCCATCTCTAGTTACACACGGGATTGTCTTCGGGATACGAAGTATTGGGTTCTGTGGAAAGTTCTTGGGCTTTTTGGTCGGTAGATTGTAGCGAAGGAGTTTTTTGACCTTTAACTTAAGTCTTGCATCGGTGCAATACTCATTTTAAAAGGGCATCAAATTCTGTCGTTGTTAATATGTATCTAACTTTTGTTTGCAAGCATCCGTGGTATGCACGTATCTCGTATATTAATATCTAATTTTTGTCAACAAGACTCCGTGGTTTTACTGATGCGGAGTAGATCTTAACGTTCTCGGTTGAGAAATTCAACTTTTCCCACCAAAAATAAGTAAATAAAACAGATAAAAAAATAGGTTGATTTAATATCGATACTTTTGACTTCAAAATAGCAAGATATTACATATACATATATCAGTTGAATCATTTTGAAATAAAGATTTGTAGGTTTGGCCGCTAAAGGGTTAACGACCAAATGATATAACATTAACGCGATTGATAAACGCGAGTAAAATGCAATTAGTTACGATACAAGTATACATATTGTCACGTTAGAATGAGAGATTCTGTAGGTAAACTAATGTAGATCGAGCACAAATGACGAGTTAACCTGTCTTCCCTAGTTAACAGGTTAACACGAAAGATTTTGATTATACAGACTGTTTGCAGTAGGTTTATGCGCGCTTTTCTACCAGTCATTTAGATTTTACGTCATTTTTGTAAAATTCAATTAATGGAGTTTTAGAATAATCAGTTAACCTAAAATTGTGTAGCACGACATCAGTGAGCAGTGAGCATCTTCTGCACCTACTTCCTATTTGACATGTACATATTTTGGTCTGTCTTTGGTTCTTTCAAGCGGATTTTAATTCGTAAGATAAAACTACGAATTGTTCTTTCTACATATACCGCTTTTAACTCGTTATGTATCGTACCTAATTTGCTCAATTTAATGATTAATAGCGTAATAACTTTGAAACTGGATTAATCACAAATTCGTTAACATATCATCGCCCGAGTTCATAATTGTTCTAACGTAATTTTGCAAAAAATTTTAGATAATGAATCTACGAGTGTCTCATTGATCCAAAGAATACAAATTCACCATAATATCAAGAAACTTCAACCTAGAAAACAACAAATACTCTTTTAAGTCCTAACTCCGAAACTTAGAAAGTCTTTCTTTTAATAGCTGCATCTCCAAATACTAACAATAACTACAAATTGATGTTGATAATAAGATAAAATTTTGTTGAAAATTGTAATAAATAAAGTGCTTGATCATTCCATTACAATCCTGCTCATATAATATTAAACTTCGTAAATTATTTCAAACTCAGTTCTCTCAGTTTTCTCAGTTTAGAAATCAGTGGAGATAGAACAATTAAGAATTAGAGCGAAGTTATGTCTTTCGGTTATTTAGGTAGGACAAGTATGCATAAGGTATTCTTGTTACAAATAATAAAACCGACCGAACTTTCCGCAGGACCTAATACGATCGTCGAAAAACTGTCGATTGAAATTTTTAGGACTACACAGGCATATTATTTGTAATATGTGAAATATTTTTTAGCTTAAATAACTTTTGTTGTTTTCAAGAGTAAAATCCTTTTATTTTTTAATAAAATGCCACATGTTTCACCCCATCGCCATGTAGAGCATGTCAAAAACACACACAGTCATACCTATTCTAAATATAATGGTCGCCATCCTAATTGAAAGTTCAGTCTCATCAAACACTGGATGGCTCCATCCAGAAGTTTCTTAGGTCGCGAACTCGGTTTCATGGAAGAAGTTAATAAACACCTTGAATTCTGATGATTGCATGGTTTATGATATTAGACAGGTTCCGTGGATTAAATGATCGTACGTTTTCACTTAATCCATTGCGGTCGGCGGTTGTAGTATTCTTGTCGGCATAGTTTAGCCGCCTCGGTCGCGCGTCGGGAAACGATCGGACTCGTTTTGCAGTCAGCGGTTTTGTTTCACACAGGTGTAAAGTAGTCAGTTGTCTAAACTCGGTGGATTGTCAAACATATTTCGCTTTTCCTGTCAATGACCCAATACATTGGAATTTCCAATATATCGACAGACATCCTATATTAAATTGAGTTGGGTGTGAATTCATTTTTATTTATTAAAACTATTGCTGCATAAATTTATTATCTGGATATCGTGTTTCATGTAACGAACGGAAAATAAAAAATTGCTCACCCATTTTGTCCTTAAGGGGTCATGCTCAGTCAGGAGGCCGAAAAAAGAGTGTTCTTTGGGAATTTTTTTCTCGAAAACTATACGACCTTTTTCAAAAAATGTGTCTGTGTTTCAAAGATTACAGTTTCTAGATTATAAAGTAATTTTTTTATTTAAAAATATTTATTAGTAAATAAATGGTGAGCGATCTCCCGGATGTCTCTTCACAAAAAGTGGTCTGCCGTGATCACTGTAACTTCGTAACGCTGTATCTCCCGGATGTCTCTTCACAAAAAGTGGTCTGCCGTGATCACTGTAACTTCGTAACGGTTCACTTGAAATTAAAAATTCAGTCAGATTTATGTAATGGAAGAACCAGTCTTGTCCTTGAACGTGGGGTTTTTCGAAATATTGATTAGGAACAAAATAGCAGACGTTTTCCTGAAAAAATGCGATTTTCACCTAAAAAATCACTCGTTTTTGGTCATTTAAAGAAAAGTATGGAACGAACAAAAGAATCCTCCGTTCAAGGACAAGTTTTTCTGATTTGAAGAAAGGCGCAAAAGGCTTCATGTAAATCGACACAATAGTTTTTGTTAAAGTTGGCTGGAGAAGTTAACGAAATTATCGATGCCGGTCGTGAGATAAACATAAAAACGTAGTTTAATATATAAAATCGAAACGGTACAAAAGACGCGACATTATCTGTGTAAGGTGTCGCGTATCAGAGAGAAAACGTATGGTGGTGGCGCTCCGCGCGCACCCTAGCGGATGCAAGAATGAATCTTTCCCGGAAGGGCTCAGATTGTGAATTCTATCACTCTCCCTCAAGTTGAGCCCTCAGATGATTCTTCCTTGAAAGACCAAGCCCGGCGCAGCACCTCATGTGACTCGACCCAGGCAATCCCTTCGTAAGAGCATCCGCAATCATTTGCTCCGAAGGTAAGTAGGTCAACTTGACGGGATGACTCTTCAACACCTGGCGCAGAGAGTGATGCCTCACATCAATGTGCTTGGATCTCGAATGAAACACCGGGTTCTCCGCCAGTTTCCCAGCTCCCTGATTGTCATTGAAAATGACTGTATCGGACTGAAGCGGACCCCGTATATGATCGCCGGTCGACGACGCAACTAGCCCAGTCGGCGTCGACATAGCCCCTCAGTGACTCCCTGTCTCTGGTGAATCTGA